TCCCTCTTTTTTTTTTTTTTTTTTGAATGTGAAAACCAAATTCAAAACTTGATCTGAGCGAGACAGTATCCATCTCATAATCTACAAACTAGCTTTTATGATGGTAGGAGTGGAGGTTTAAAACTGGACAATCCGTGGGGCTGGAGAGATGGCTCAGCTGTTAAGAGCACCGACTGCATGCACTTCCAGAGGACCTGGGTTCACATGGCAGCTCACAAACTTCATAACTCCAAGATCTGACACCCTCACATAGACACACATACAGGCAAAGCACCAATACACATAAAATAAGAATAAATAAATTGAAAAAAAACTGGACAAGCCAGCCTAGTGTGATGGTACACACCTAGAAACTCGGCACTTGAGAAGCAGAAGCAGGAGTTGAAGGCCAGACCTGTACTCTGCCACACATGCACACACACACACACACACACACACACACACAAAACCTTGTATAATGCTTGTAGCGATGTTGTTGCTTTATCAAAATGTTCAAAGCTCTTAAAGGAGCTGGCCTATTAGACTTGTGATTGCATTAAAATATTCAGGATTTAATTGGTTTGTAATCATTGTGTAAGCGTTTTGACTTGTAACATGTACAGAATCTGATTTGCTGACTGTGTGTTTTTGGATTCAGTTTTTGCTTAAGTACACAGATTAAATAGTGAGCAAAGTCCTTGTGGCCGTAGGTATTTCTTTGTAGGGACCAAAGCGCCTCCGAGTTGGGGATCCTAAAAATAAAATTCAATGTCAACATCCATCCACTCTGCCCCTCTGCCTAACAGCTAATTTCCACAGAGAAAGTGGGCCAAGGAAGAATCCACTGTAGTTCTAAACCCACAGCCTCCAGCCAGCCACACGTGGTCCTTGTAGTCAAACCATTCTCTGGTTCGCTTCACCCTCCACATAATCTAAGTGCAGGCTTCAATTCCCACCTTCGAACTCTGGCCTCACCCCAGCGCCGCCCCCCCCCTGGAGCCCCTCCCTCCACCACACCCACTTCTGCCTCTTCCTGTGCTGCCCCGCAGAGGCTGACTTCACCTCCTGATGAGGTGGCTGTCTCCATCCACCAGCACGGAGCCTGTTTCCTCTGAGCACATCCCTTGCCCTTCTCTACTCCTTCCCGTCAGTAGTTAGGTTTAAGAGCGTGCATCTCTTAAATTTAAAAGAGAAAAAGATAGGTACAGGAGTGCTGCAGCTACTATCCTCGGCTCTCTAAAGCCCTGAACCCTTTAGCTTAGTATCCACTTGCTTGTCTTTTGGCTTTAATTTCATAATGTAAACAATTTGTGACCAGTTGCTGGCCTGTTAATCATTGGTGAAGTTGGCCTCTGCTGCTCCACCCACACTGCCCTAACAGGCACCCAGCCTCAGTGCCACTCCTGTCCCCGGACATCTGGTGCTGCTACCCATGCTGAACCTAAGGTGAGATCCCATTGCCCACGTCCTAACAGGTATTGCTGGAGTATGCTCAGACGTCTGTATCTTCTGCGCATGTCCCAGACCCTGTTTCTGACTCGTCTGCCACTTTCCTTTGTTCCTTTGCCTGTTGCTTTGAGGTAGTCTTGCCAGACTGGTGTCAAACTCAGCAATCCTCCTGCTTCAGCCCTCTGAGGTGCTTGGACTACAGGTGTGCATCGCCATGCCTCGCTCGCTCTCTCTTAAATGTTTGCTTTCTCTCAAGACTGTCCTGAACTTCTTTGGCCTTAACACACTCCCGTAGTACACATGTTCATCCGCATGGTGACAGTCGCCCCATTTTTACACTTTCTGAACAGTCGCTGCCTTCTGAGCAGACTCCCAATGCCACCTTTACTCACCCCGCTGAGAGGTGAATTACAGGCTCTACTCACCAAGGCTTTTCTCCCTCCCTGTTTACTTTGCAATCTGAACTTTCCTGTCACCCAAACTAGAAACCATCTTTTCTCCCCCAGGGACTGACTCCCTTATCACCCACCACAGCCAATGGTTCTGCCATTGCTTTCCTTCTCCCTGGCTAGCAACTAGCAATCTGCAATCTAGATTTCTAGAAAAGCCCCATAATCTGCCCCCAGCCCCCTACCCTGGCCACCTCCAGTTCTTCTCAACACCCATCACTCTCCCTTCTTGGGGATCACCTTAGTGGCCCATCACAGCATAAAGCCCTTTGAAACCTAGAGTGCTGGAGTGCAATGCATAATCTTTAACATGCTGCGAGCTGTCTCACAGTCTAGCTGCTGCAGCTCCTCGGCTCCATTTTCAGCACCTGCAGGAGCGTGAAGACATAAGAAATTGCGCCATTCAACTGACACGCCTTAGAAAATGAAAGTATAAGGTTTAAATTAAAACTCGGTAGGCCCAAAAGAATTGTTCTTGGACTCAACAAAAAAAATTAGGACTTTTTTTAAAATGTTTTTTATATTTTATGTGCTGGTGTGTTGGCTGCATGCCGGTGTACAGAGGCCAGAAGAAGGTGCCAGATCTCCTTAGAACTGGAGTTATGGACAGTTGTGAGCTGCCATGTAGGTGCTAGGAACTGAGCCATGATCCTCTGGTAGAGCAGTCAGTGTTCTTAACCACTGAGCCATCTCTCCAGCCCCAAGAGCATGTTTTAGTTTGTAAAGCATTTTAATCTGGACCAAATGGAAATGGGGAATTTTTTTTTAGATTTTTAAGTTTTATTTTATGTGTATGAGCATTTTGCCTGCATGTCTGTATGTGTACCTTGAGTCAGAAGAAAGTGTTGGTTCCCCTGAACCTGGAGTTAGACAACTGTGAACTGCTGCGTGGGTGCTGGGAACCAAGTCTGGGTGCCTTTCTCTGCAAGAGCAACAAATGATCTAACCACGGAGCCATCCCTCCAGCCCCCAAATGGAGAGATAGTAACTGGCACTGTGTGATGCACTAATAAAATACAGAGAAACCAGAGACTGAGGCATGGGGAGTAATTCCACAACGAAGTAAAAACGCTTGCATGAGAAAAAGCATGAACAACTGTTCCCAGGTGGTACCTGATAGGCTTGCAGGCCCAGCCTCTCCTTCAGGGGCACATGACCTTCAGTGAGCTAACCTCACCTCTCTATGCCCCGACTTCTTCATCTATAAAGCGGAGCTATTAACTGTGTCAGGTGTAGTATGGAGGACCAGTGGGCTACTTCCCACCACCAGGCTAGCTTAACCCCTGAAATAATCACACAGAAATTGTATTAATTAAATTGCTGCCTGGCCCATTATATCTAGCCTCTTATTGACTAACTCTCACTTCTTGATTAACCCATTTCTATTAATGTGTATCGCCACTTAACTGTGGCTTACCGGCATGAGTCTAACCAGCGTCCGTCTTGGACAGGAGAATCATGGCGTCTGCCACACTTCCCTTCTTTTATTTATTTATTTAAAATTTATTTTATTTTATTTTTGGATTTTCGAGACAGGGTTTCTCCCTAGCTTTTGGTTCCTGTCCTGGAACTAGCTCTTGTAGTCCAGGCTGGCCTTGAACTCACAGAGATCCGCCTGCCTCTGCCCCCGAGTGCTGGGATTAAAGGCCTGCGCCACCACAGCCCAGCCCACACTTCCCTTCTTTGCAGACTTTTGTTTTGTGTACTCTGCCCACCTAAGGGCTGCCCTATCAAAAGGCCAAGGCAGTCTCTTTACTCAACCAATGAAAGCAACACACAAAGAGAAGAAGGACCTCCTACACCAGTCAGGTTTGGAAAGCACTTAGCTTAGCGCTTGGCAAATACTCAATATACATGAGTTGTTGATGTACAAATTAGTAAACAGCTGGAGAGCTGTGGGTTCCAGGGTTCTTCAGCAATCTCTGAAGGCAGACAGGACGTTTTGAGTTCTAGTGGCCCTTTACCTGTTACAATGTTTCTATATTCCAAGTGCGCTCAGTTTTCCAGTGGACACAAGTTAGTCGCTAGCCTCCTGCAGTGGTAGGACACTCACAGATGCTCATGTGAGTTTGTCACTAGGCTGGAAGGGCTCTATGGTTTGCCTTAGGTAACAGACTGTCTATGTGGCGGCAGCGACTTTACCGTCCCTGCTGGATAAGGAAGCCTGCCTACCAGTGCCCTAAAGGAGAGCGAGAATGATGGGTGGAAATGAGAGGGGCCGTGACTGCTAGTTAACAGTGCCCACAATACTTGACTGTGGGCAAACTTTACTCTCCAAAAAAAAAAAAAAAATCATGGAATCTCAGCCAGGCCCTGATCTCAAAATTTATGATGTCAGATCAGGAGGATGAGGAATTCGAAGTCAGCCTTAGTCACATAGTAAGTTGAAGGCTAGCCTGGGCTGCATAAAACCCTGTTTCAAAAAAGAAAAAAAAAAAAAAAAACATTGGGACTCTCAAATATCACTAAAACCTTGTAAAGTTCCTATAGGCAGAGAAATTCCTAGAAGCCAGTATGAGTAAGAACAGATCATTGCTTCAAGCCATCTAGAATAGAAAGTAATGGGATTTTTGGCGCCAACCTTTCCAAACGGCCTTCCATTTTAGCATCCCTATTCTCTTGCTCTCACGTGCAAGGGATGACCTTTCTGAATATCACACAGGTGGTAAGATGGGGACTTCGTTGCATCGGCTCTCAGAAGCCTCATATGAAACCACGCTGTACTGTGTCATTTCTTTCTCTCTCCCCTGACTTTGGACTCCTGTAGGACAGAGACCATGTCAGTCACATGACCTGGCATCCTCTCCACTCCTAGACAGAACATGGCACATAGTAGGTGTGCCTTAAATATGAAATGGAGGTCTCCTGGGAGCTTGCACTTTCCTCCTGCACTCTGTAACCACGCCAGCACCAAGCAGAAGTCGAGGCACATAGAAAAGGCAGCAGAAACCAAGGCCCAAAGTCAGGAAGCTTAGCAAGAGTAAGGACTCTGAGCTTGGGGGGAGGGGGACACGGATTCCAGAAGAAGAGTAATAATGAACCACACCTCCACAGATGCCCCACCCTCCCTATCCCCCAATTCTGGAAAACAAAACAACAACAACAACAAAAAACCCCATTGGCTCCGTTTTAATTGATTTATTGAAAAATAAATGAAAATCGCTTGAAAGAGCATATGATCAAAATTGTTCTTAACAGGAAGAGGGGTTTGAATACAGCACTGGGAGGGGGCAGGGGGAGCAGAGTGAGGCTGGGAAAGAGGCAGAGATGAGGAAATACGGTACCTGCTAAAAACTCTACATCTAACCTTTCAGCGTCTCGGGTGTCACCCCGCACTCATCCCTGAGCAGGGCTGACAGCTGGACTGGCTGAGGAACAGCATCAGGTAGTTTATCTAGAAAAGTTGGGAGACGGCATCAAAGGGAATGGAGGTACCAAATCCGAAAGGCTTCTCCTGCTCCAATCTGTTGCTAGAACCCCTATCATGGTGAACTTGAAGTCACTCAAGAAGGTTCATCCGGATCCCAACTCAGCCACCAATTTGCTGTATGACTTTGGACAAGTCATTTTCCCCCCTCTGGCCCTCTTTCCTCTGCCATGCAGCTTCTCTGGCCCCAGCACTCTGCAATGTCAAGACCGGTGACCCGTGCTGGGCCAGGAAACTGGAATGGCTCCTGAGAAAACGAGCCAGAGCGGCGTGGTGCTGGCCTTCCTCTGCAGACTGGCAGCTCAGAAGTGTGGACATGCATGTTAGAAGCACTCGTGTCTGTGAGAGGCCCACTCCCACTGCAAGAGTGCTGTCTACATGACTGGCTCTAAGGGAGCTCTACGCAAGCAGATCAAGAGCGCCACAGCTGCTCAGGGCAGAGCAGCCCCATGGCATCTGAGGAGATGGCAAGGTACGGTACAAGCAGGAGAGGGATGTGGGTTTGGGGAGGGGGTGAGAAGAGTAAGAGGTAAAGCTACCCAGCACCTGGCCACGCATCAAACTACCCTTGTCAGACGCCCTCCACATGAAGCAGAGCGTGGGTATACCACTTGACCTAATAGAAGCAGCTCTTCCAGTAGAGAGATGCCACACCGGGCACCAAGGTCCATGATTCCCATGAGGTGACCACCATCACGGCAGGGGTCAGGAATCACCTCCCTTGACTGGAATCAAATGAGGTAGGCCAACTCATCTTCCGCTCTCTCCTTCCCTTACACAGGTAAGTGGTGTAGGTGGCGTGTGGTTGATCATCTCCACCCAGAGCCATCATCCTAGAGGCACATGAAGGCTAAAACCCTTTCTTGGCAGCTGAAAAGGCAGAGGAAGCTGACTGGAGAACTACTGTGCCCTCCCCGCCCCCACTCCCTACCAGCATGTGTCCATGCCACTGAAAACTCCAAGGGCAAAGGCTCGCCAAACCCACAGTGTAAGGGGAGGCACTCGCACGAGAGCCAGCAGCGTGGTACCCACTGTGAGGTTCCGATTCGCACTATTAAATATACCAGGTTTAAGATACTGGGGGAGGGGTGCACACACTAAGATACGCCTGCATGTGCATGAAGGGACAGCGCGGCACTTGGGGAAGACTGTGAGCCTGGCCTACTTTAGTAAGGAGCCTTCTGCTCCCAAGTGGAAAACTGCCAGAACCCACACATGACGACGTTTGGCAAGGTTTCCAAAAACCCTAAGCTGGGATATTTCCATAGGGACATTCATCCCTAGGTCAAGGCAATTCAGCAAAGCTTTATCAACAAAACAACTTCACAAAAGGCACAACTGGAGGCCCCCCAAGAGCTGAGAGCCTTTCTTAGAGCAAAAGGAGATCTAGCAGCAGAAACACAGGACCCCCAGAGCAGGGAGCTCCCTGATGGCTCTAATCATTGGTCCAAGTCATTGAAGGACAGGGGTGCGCTACCATTGGCAAAGGCCTTCATTAGACTGCTAGGGTAGACACACCCCAACTTCTCTGGGGTTGGGAAACCCCAAACCCTATAGAGCGATAGGCTCAATCGGTCGCCAATATAGAAGGGACCAACCCACTTGGCACCGCTGCCGTTCCTGGGGAGAGACAGCAAGAGGACCTGGTCACCCACATTCCACTCCTTGTTCTGGATCTCCCTCTGGAAGCGTCTGTTGTCAGCTTTCTCACCGGCCTTCTCTGCCACCCTCCCGTGGAGGTCCAACAGCTCCCGTGCCAGCCGCAGCAGGAACGTGTCCATCTTGAGCCCCTCGATGTTCGCGCTGCTCATCTCCCACCACAAGGGCTCCGTCAGCCTCCCCTCATCCCCAGTCAGAACCTGGTATGGGGTGGCCTCTGGGTTGGAAGCCCTAAAAGCCAGGTGCAGCAAGGGAAGGGAGGCTGCCCACTTTTTGCCATGCAAGAAGATGAACTCCTTCAGGGCCCTCTTGAATTCCCAGTAGGCCTCTGAACTCATCAAACAAGGGAACTGAAGGGTCCTACTCAGTGTGGTCACCTGAGCGCCTAGGGCCAGCCCACAGCTCACCAGGACATGTCGGGCAAACTGGGGGCCTTGGGCCGCCTCCAGCCTTATGGGAACACCCCATCTCGCAAACACGTGCTGCAGTAGCAGCTGGGCCACAGCCATGTGCGTATAGGGCTTCAGAGGGAATGCCTCCACCCACCGGGTGTTGGCATCAGCCACGATGAGCACGTGCTTATGACCTTCCTCGCTGGCAGTGATGGGACCCACCACCTCAATCTGCAGACTTGACCAGGGAGCGGTTGACCTGACAGGCCACGGGGACTCAATAACTTTCAACTCACCCCCTACGAGATTTTGGGGAATGCAAAACAAACAGCTCCTGCAGTAATCTTTCACGTGCTCCTGCATCCCAGGCCACCACCCCAGCAACCGCAACTTCTTATAGGTCTCCTCTGGCCTCTGGTGCCCCCCTAAGGGGATGTCATGCACAAAAAAAATCAGATCCCTCCTAAGTTGCCTTGGGACTACCCAGACCCTGGGATGCTTTTCGCCCTTGAACATAAGCAGGCCACTGTCTTTGTCAAGGCTGAGCGAATTAAAAGCAGAACTGAAAGGGGAGGGCCCGGACAATTTCTGCCCCGCCTGCAGCTTGGCAATGATCTCGGCCACTGTACCATCACTCAGCTGTAAGGCCAGCAGGTTGGGCTTCCTGCCTTTGGTATGGGGAGTCACTATTGGCACCGGCACATCCTCCGGCAAATCCCACCACTGCCCGCCCCCTTGGGCGCCCTGCTTGGCCAGAGTATCCACTGTCACAGCAAACAGAGATCCCCGATAAGAGGTTCGGTAGATAAAGGGGAGGGATGAGAGGCCAGAAGTGAGGGATATAATATAGGAGAGCAAGCTCGGATAAGGTAGAGAAGCCCCGTCCGATGAGAGGAAGCCACGGGCTTTCCAGAGAGGCAGGAGCTCCCAGAGGACGCTGAAGATCCAGTTGCAGTGGGTGAGGAAAACCACCGGCAGGTGGGACTGGCCAAAGCGCTCTAGGCCACAGGCCACGGCTGCCAGGTGGGCATAGGTGAGTGTATAAGGGAAACAGGAAAAGGTAAGGGAGACTGGGGGGCTGGTGGGGGACAAGATGTAGAGACCAAAGCCAGCACACAGCTCATCATCACGGTAGAAGCAATAGCCAGATATATGGATGCAGATAAATGTAGACAGGTCAGTAGAAGGAGGCAGAAGCTGGAAAACTCGAGGCATCGAGGAAGCAGGTGTCAGCAGCCGGTTTTCCCCCAGCAGGCCATGGAGTAGGGTCAATTCCAAATCCCTCTTGCCTTTGTCCTGAACCAAGAGAGACCATCGAATCAACCACGCTTTGGAAACGCTACAGCTTTCCCACGTCTCGCTGTCCACAGTGGTCCGGGAGGCATAGGAAAGACGTAGAACCACTGGATTGTCCCCAATGCATCGGGAAAAGTGTTTGAGGGCCCAAGCCACAGCATAGGGGCTGTCCCCCCCTGACTGTGGCCCCTCACTGTCCTCATCAGGGAGAAGAGGTTTCGAGGTATAGGCGATGGGGTGCTTCCTTCCTGAGTGCTCCTGCTGCAGGATGGCCGTCAGTGACACTTGGCTAACGGTCACTTCCAGGTAGAAGGGCAGATCAGAATTCGGGGTTGACAGGCAGAGGGCAGACACTAGCGCTCGTTTCAGGGCCAGGAAGGCCTTCTCGTGTTCCTGGTTCCACTGCCAGTCCGGCTTCTGCTTGAGAAGGCTGTGCAGGGGACCCACGAGGACTTCATAGTCAGGAATAGCATCCCGGTGCAAATCCATGAAGCCCACAAAGAAAGACAGAGCAGTGAAGTTGCTAGGGATAGTGAGCTGAGCAAGCTGGGCAAGAACCTGCTGACAGGGAGCCTGCCCATCCCAGGGGACATCCATGTAGGGAGAGGACACCACTGGCAGAAGGTCAATATCCAAAGCCCCCTCGGAGGGGTCATGCAGGCTGAGACACCGGAGGATTTCCTCAGAAAAGGAAGGGCATTCAGCTCCAAACACCGACGCAAGGGAAGAGTCACGGTCTTCTTGTTCATCAGGCTTTGGTATTTCCGGCTGCTCCACCAGCTCCTCTGCTGGGCTGTCCTCCCTCTTCTCCCTGACCTCTTCCACATTCTGTGGGCCCACCATTGGCTCAGGATCAGCATCGTCACTCAACTCAGAGATGCTGGCTGAGCTGGGAGGAAGGGTCTTCCACACCTTCAAGAAATTGCCAATGTCCATGTCCAACCTATTACCAAAACAAGCAGAAGAAGGAGGAGAAGGAGCAGCCCCACCCCACAGGTTATTCGTGGTCACAGTCACATGTGCGGTCACCCCACAGGACCCCACCTCATCCCTAAGAGTCCTTCAGCATGGCAGGGGTCAGTCAGAAGCCAGCCCATAAACACTTGGTCTCTATCTTCACACTTGCTAGAACTTCAACAAGGATTCTTCTGTGCTTTCAAAGTTTACCAAACCAAAACCTTACTAAACTGTGATGGTCAGTCTTAATTGTCATCTTGACATGATCTAGAATCAACTGAGAAAGTGGTCTCAGTGAAAGGGCTGCGCAGACCAGGTAGCTGGCAGGCATATCTGTGAGGGATTAACTTGCTTACATTGAGGTGGGAAGACCCTCCGCTGTGGGTGGTGTCACTCCCTAGGCAGGGGATCTGAGACTGTGCAAAGTGGAAAAGTGAGCTGAGCACTAGCAAGCACACATCTATGGCTCTCTTCTGCCAGCAGACATGATGTGACCAGTTCTCCCCAAGCTCCTGACACTGGGACTCCCCGCCCCCCAGTCCTGTGAGCAGAAACAACCCTTTCTCCATACTTCGCTGTTGCCAAGGTATTTTATCCCAAGGACAGGGAACAAAGCTAAAGAGACTGAGACCATGAAACGCTTAAATTAGTTTTGAGTCAGTGGCTGGGTAAGAGATACCTAGCAGCCTCCGCTCTTACCTCAGGGTGAACAGTCCAGGGTAAGATCGACCCTGGATGGGAAGCCTAGCATGCAACAGAGAAACCTCAGCTTCATGTCCACACACTGATGAAAAGGGGTGGGATGCAGGTGTGTGTGTGTGTGGAGAGGTGGCCTAGGAAGCACTGCCCTGCCCACAGGTCCCAACCAAGTTCCCCTGAAGGTCCCAGAAGGCTGTGGGGGGCAGGGACAGCAAATGTGGCTATAAACTAGTTCTGCCAAAGTGACCTTGGAAACGTCGCTTGCACCTCAGATTCCTCGTCTGTGAAATGAGGAATGTTATCATTTACATCATCTCACATGTTGTGAGGGTCAACATGACGCCCATATGCACAGACAGCTCTCGCGGACACAATCAAAGAAAAGCAAGGCTCCTTGCTGGCACACATCACCAGCAGCATAAAGCAAAAACAGTCAAACGGCCCCAGGCAGAAAGGAGATTCTCCTGCATGGAACGGAATGCTACACCGCCACTAAAGTGTACTACGGAATCTTCATGGCATAGGTCTGAAGAAAGCAAGAAAAGATCGCGCACAAATGCCAGTTGTGGAAAGATACATGCAAAGGCGTGTGTGCGGCCGGGTGGTGGTGGCACACACCTTTAATCCCAGCACTTGGGAGGCAGAGGCAGGCAGATCTCGTGAGTTCAAGACCAGCCTGGTCTACAAGAGCTAGTTCCAGGACAGGCTCCAAAACCACAGAGAAACCCTGTCTCAAAAAAAAAAAAAAAAAGAAAGAAAAAAGAAAAAAAGAAAGAAAGAAAAGGCGTGTGTGCAATGTTAAGAGTGTAATGTAAAGAGTGGGTAGAAGCATCAGACTGTGGCGGATATATAAAGATGTAAAGCCAAACCACTCTGCTCAGTATGGAGAACTAGGTAAATGTGAGCTAGTACCAAGAGTCGTCTCTGCTCACTATGGAGAACTAGGTAAATGTGGATTAGTACCAAGAGTCGTCTCTGGTCAGTCCCGGGAATGTCCGGGAGGTAGAGACAGCCTGACAAATTACCTGTTTGGTTTCTTCAGAAATTCATCCAAGGTGGGGCCATCGCGACCGAGGGGGTCGTCTGGGACCATGAAGAGATTCCCCGCAAAGGTGAAGGGCAGCAGGCTGGACCCACAAAAGAAAGAGGCAAGAACATGGATGAACCCAAGATCCGGCTACTCTCTGTTGCCTCCACAAGGCTGAGATTCCCCCATTCACCAGCAGGTACTGGAGAGCCCTACTCTAAGGCTCCTCTTCCTGCCCCACCATCCTTTTCGGCCACAGGCTGCCCACGTCACTGGGAAATGGGGGCTCAAGACCCCAGGGATGGCTCACCGATCTTTGACCACCAGTTTCTTGGAATGATTCATGAGGATGTGAATCTGCTCATTGGTGACAATGACACCATCAGTCTCCTCTGCCAGCTTGATCATGAACCTGCGAGGGCAAAGAAAATTACCAACCGTCTAGCAACTACCTTCTCACTTCCCAGACCCTCTGGAAAATGAACTAGATCTCCGACCAACGGGCCAGACAAAATCTCTGCCCTCTGTAATCAAGACAAGGTTCTATAGCATATTCTCTCTTCCATGGGGCCATCTGGGAGCCCAGCATTCTCCAAAAGGTGTACTTGGCTGCATAGACCTCCAAGTGTGCGTACAAGCATACACCCCTCTCATATACGAGGCTCATGCATCGCAGAACCCATCCTCTGGTTCACAGTCACACATGGGCATTTTCCCCTCCCATTTTTGCACCTGTAAAATGTAGATAAAATACCCACCCCATATTGCTGTAATAATGAAACTGAGATGATGTTTATGTGTCTAACTCAGTGCCTAGCGCACAGCACACAATATTCTTCATCAAGGCCCAATACTCATTCATGATGAGATGCACACCCACATAAATATTAACACATAAAATCACGTGGCTTAATAAACAAAACCATTCTTCTGGGGATCACTTTCCTTCTGAGGAGGGCTGGGACCAGGCAGTCCCTGGGATTTTCACATGATGTTCCCCAGGTGCCCAGCAGAGGGCGCTTCGACAGGAAAACAATCTTCCCTTAAACCCTTGCCTGCCTGGCTGGAATTCGAGGATTTAAAAAACTCACCCAGGCAGGAGTCAGCTCTGGAAGTTTGGCCTGCCCAGCCCTTCACAGCCTTGAAGGCTGGAGGGAGTGCAGGGGACACAGGAAAGAAACAGAACCTCTCCCCACCCAGCATGTGAGGTGACCAGTGAAGCCAAAACCTGTCGATTGAGCATCGGACTGCAGCAGGGCCTCCCTTCCCTGCCCTAGGACAGACTGTCAGGGTCACAGCCTCCCCTAGGCGCACTAGCTCTGTAGCCACGCCAGATGGTGAATGCTTAGGCAAACCGGCACATCTACCTCCATTTCAAGAGCCCTGCCCAAGGATCTATCTACATCCAGTCACATACACCTCTGCCCAGCATCCGAGCTTGAGGAAGAAAGATTGAAGGCCTTCCTTGAGATTAGAACTTCAAGCCCAACAGGCACTGAAAAGCCTAGGGTACCTCTGCTACCTATTTGAAGGATGAGGTTCCTCCTGTATCCAATGAGATAGGCCTGGGCCCATAGGCCATGGAGGGGGAGAGCCAGCTAACTCAGGGAAGCACAGCACCACCGAGATGTCAGCTACCCCGTGTCTGGGAAGAGCCGACCTTCAGCCATTTCATTTGTGCCCCAATACCTCCTCTCAGACATGGCATTTATCTCTATTTTCCCCTGAGATGAGATGGGACACCATCCGAGACCACCCCCAGCCCCACGGAGGGACCTGGGGAACAGCCCACCTGTAGTCATAGGTGGTGATCTTCTTGCCGTTCTCCAGCTGGGAGGGAGTGATGGACAGCATCTTGAGTGAGTGAAGCTGCGTCAGAAAGTGGCTCTCTGGGGGCGACACAGAACACAGAGGTAGAGGAAGGGCTAAGTGGGCCAGGCCATGGTAGGGTGGCGGGAGAATGAGGCAGAGAGGCAAGGGGGGACAGCCTGGTGATGTGGAGGGGCTGGGCAGCACTGGGTATCTCACCTCTCACCCTCCGGTTCTTCTTCAGCTGCCAGGTGGGTACAAACACGGTGACCTCCCGGTGTCCTCGATTCCAGAAATACTGCACCGCCATGGCAATGCCTCGGCAAGAGAAGAAGTGCTGGAGGCCGTGTCTGCGGGATGCGAAAGTGAGGGACCACTCCCAGAAGGCCCTGCCTTACCATGCAGCTCTTGCCCTGAGGCCCAAGCAAGTGACGACCCAACAGTACCGAAGACACTAGCAACCCCTTTTCCTTACCCACCCCACCCTTGACCCCCACCCCCGAGAGAAGGACTCTCTATGAAATCCTAGCTGTTCTGGATGAAGCTTACTATGTAGACAAGGCTGGTCTTGAACTCAAAGAAATCCCCCTGCCTCTGCCTCCTGAATGCCAGGTTAAATGTGGATGGGCCACCACACCTGGCCCGCAGCCCCACTGTGTGCCACGCCCCTCATCTTTTGCTACCCATGTATTTAGGAAGGAATACCCGCCTGGCTCCCCAGCACACCCAGCCCACACTACTCACACCATGGCCACACTGCTGCCGTCAATGACCACTCTTCGCAGTCCTGGATTCCCAGGCTCCCCAGACAAGTTCAACTCGAAGGGTGTGTTCAAGGCCTCATGGTACCTCTGGAAGCTGGTCACTGTGTTGTTGGCCTGCGGGTGGTGAGCTGACTTCCTCTGGGCCCCCTCCCAAGCCCCAAGAAGTCCCTCCTTCAGGAACTGATGTTTATTTCTGGAGGCCAAGTTGTTACTGGCCTGGAAACCCTGCTTTCCAGTCTTTCCCTGGCCCTTTGGCACGACAGCTCTACCCTTTGAAGCCTGGACCTCATTTGGGAGTTTGGCTTCATCCAGGCTCAGCCCTGCAACTGTGGACACCTGCGCTGCGGAGGTTTTAGACACTCTGGAGGCTTTAGAAGCTGCGGGTGTTTTGGTAGTGGAAGGTGTTTGGGGAGCGGCAGACCCTGCTTTAGTGGCATTCCCAGTTTGGACTTTGGGGGTTTGGGGGACTGCAGGTGTTTTTGCTGAAGGCATGTTCTGAGCTGCAGGGGTCTGGGGAGTCGTGGGTAGCATGGGAGCTGCTGGTTGACTCGCGGTTGCTTTGGGGGCTGTGGGCTCCACAGGAACTGCTGACTTTGGTGGCACTGAAGGCACTTTGGGAGCTGCAGGCTCTGTATCCACTGCCGGCTTTAGGGCTGGAGGCACTTTGGGAGCTGCAGGCTCTGTATCCACTGCCAGCTTTAGGGCTGGAGGCACTTTGGGAGCTGCAGGCTCTGTATCCACTGCCAGCTTTAGGGCTGGAGGCACTTTGGGAGCTGGAGGCAGCCCTTCCCCGGTGGGTGGGTGGTCGACTTTGGACACGGCTGTAGCCGCGGGCGCTTCAGGAATCTCAGACATTGCTGGAGCTTTGGGTACTGGCTGACCCGTCATCTCCGCCTGAGCCACTGGCCTCTCCTGAGCTGTGGGTCCCCTCTGCTCTGTAGGCAGTGCTGAAGAGGACTTTTCCAGATCGTCACCATCTGACAGTGAACTTCTTTCATCTTCCTGCTCCGCTTCAGCTTGGGGGGCAGATGTCAAGGATGGCTCTCCTTGTGGAGGTTCTGAGGTAACAACCTCTATGATACCACAGTCCCCCGGCACCCCCGATAAACTGATGACTTCTGAGGGGGTCTCCAGCCTTGGGCTGTGCTGTAGGGCTGTCTCGCTTCCTAGCTCTCCATCTGGTCTACAAGCCTGGTTTTCTGCACTGGATAGAGGAGCCAGCTCTTTCGGCTTCCACTCCAGGTTTAAGGGCAAAGGGTTCTGTCCTGGCAGCTTCAGCTGAATGGGGCCCATGGGTCTCTGCCAGAATGGGAAACTGAAGCAAGCCTGGGATAGCAGCCAGGCCAGGTGAAGAGAATGCAGTTCGTTGATCTTCCAGAAAGTTGCAGCAATAGCCCCTGGCCACAAGGGCCCAAAGGCTGGCCCCGGGGCCCAGGACTTCCAGGATGGACACACACTCAGAGCCGACACTGGTGACCGCAATGAGATTCTGTCTTCTGTCCTCTGTGCCTGCCTTTGCTGCAAGAGGGCTTGTGTGTGATTGGCAGAGCCCTGGCTGCTGGCGGCTGGCACGAGGGGCCCTTCTTCGCGAGCACTGGTCACCTCACCTTGCTTGCTGGGACGGACCCTGAAAAAAAAAAAAGCCCACGTTTGCTGAAAAGATGAGAAAGGCAGTTTGGCCCCAAATTACTACTTCCCTGGGATCCTGAGCAGGGTCAGGGGTGGAGAAAGCCCATTTTCCAGTACTTACTGTACCAGCTGGCATGCTGACTCCTGCTGACTGCTCTGGGCTGGGGTCGGGGATCCAGTTGCTCCTAACCTTGCCAATTTCTTCGAATTCTCTGAAGCCTGATTCAAGGCTCCTATCTCTAGGAAGGGTGCAGGGCTCTCTCCTACGGTCACCAGGGACGAGCCTTCCTTCTGCTGCTGGCCAGGGCAGATCAGGACCTCTGGGCTGGCACAGGTGCTAGAGCTGCCAACATGGCTGAGCCACTCAGCGATGTCTTCCTTGCCAGCAGCATCTCGCACCAGGTTGAGGAGCAGCTCCTGGACTGCTGGGGGAAGCTGCATCAGATCCCCTGCATACTGGTCACCACGGATCCACACCAGGGCCCCAAAAGCCCGGGTCACCTCTGTCTCCCAGCCCCCCCGGGGGGTGATCATAGGGGCAGGACCCCAGCGGAACCGCGCCACCAGCTCCTCCAGCCAGTTCTGTGTCATGGTGAAAGACTCGGTCAGTCCACCCACCATCAAGGAGCCTGGGGGACCGGGCACCAGGTAAGCCAGAGTACTCCAGCAGAGGCAGTCCAGAAACAAGCCTTGTGCCCCTAGGAAGGCGCAGTGCAGGACTGGCGGATAGCGAACCTCCTTCCACAGCTCTGGGCTGCACAGACCCTTCAGATATTCCTAGGCAGAAGGGAGAAACAGAGGGAGCCGGCCTGTGAGTGGCTAACCCTAGTCGTCCTCCGTCCTCCGCACCTTAAAGGCCAACCCCTTGCTAAGCTTATAGCTAACACCACCTCCCCCTCCATCCCCTCTCTCCAGGAAATGGTGACAGAATGAAGGAGACTCAGAGGAAAGAAGAGAAGATCCAAGTTTGGCATCAAGAGATCTCATGCTAGTTCTAATTTGGCCTTATTCGACGAGGAAGGATTGTAGGAAATGTACCACCTTCTAAGAATCCCAGCCTCTTCACCTAGAGCATGGCAAGAGGGTCCAGGCCTCCCTTGGCACTGCAGAATGGCGTGGCTTGGGGGGGGGGGAGCTACACACTATTAAGTATTCTCGCATGCCAAGAACAGGGGCAGTGTGGGGCAAGTTATTAACTCCTCCTCCGTTCGGTGTCTCCCATCCGGTTCTGCCTCACCAGTCTACTGGAAGCTTCAGGGAACTAAGTGAGCTTAGCTTACTGAGGATGGTGCCCGGCACAGCCTGTTCCATCCTCCTGTCTCAGAAGAGGTGGCCCAAGGTCTGCACCAGATCACGGCCTACATCACCTGACTAAAGCCAGAGCTCTCTGCACCCCCTCTGGTTGACAACACAGTGACTTCCAGGTAATCCTGTAGGATTCTGACTTAATCCCCTTCCAGAAACTCTCAGGCACAACCTGTACCAGTAACCGTGGAAACGGTTGCCTAGCAGTGGAGATTAAGCTGCTGGGCCAGTGTCACATCCCGCAGACTCACATCTTGTCTAACCAGAAGGAAAGCCTCTAGTGCTTG